ACTTGACATAATGCTTGATTAAGAGGTGTACGATAGACTTACCTCCACGTGGTGCACTCTGGGCAGCGTACACTCACATGGCAATAAAGTCTATTAGCCGGCAGTTGACTTCTCACTTCAAGCTACCATCACCCCACTGTATGTCATATTCCACTACTTGCACAGTACTCACCTCACCTTTTTTCCACCTTTGCTACCTTTGTCTTTGAAACACTCTTCTGTCCCCCCCCCCTCAATCCCAACTTTTTTCACTTCGATGTTTCTCCTCCCTTCTGTGAAGCCTGAAGTCAACTAAAGGGTTAATGATAACTATCAAAACGCCTGCCATTTGATATAAATAAATAAATAAATTTTTGCTTATTCTAAAAATCGAATTTGACTTTTTTAATACTACTACCTCTGCCATACTTCTATTCTAATTATATGTCGAGTACAGACCACTTGAAAAGCTATAACAGATTTTTAGAAAAAGTTATAACAAATGAACTGTGCTTTTTATGAAAATAATCTTGAAACTTTTTCCTGCCACTTACACAGACATTACTTCGTATCCATCGTAAAACTGCATTATAACATGAATGAGAAGAAAGGAAATTAGAAAACATTTTAAATAGAAAATTCTAGCAATGCGAGCTTAAGAACGATGGTGCCAATTATTCACTCCTTGTAAAGGAAATTGAAAAACAAATAGATTAGCAAGTAAATAATTAGAAGATTTCATCGAATTGACTTTAGATTTCTGTCCGGCAGATGGGCACTACAAATGTTATGCTCATTTCCTTTATCATCGAGGCCAACTCTCTGATGATTATGTTGGAAACTGGGTTAAGCATGGTTCGCAAGATTCCCTTCTTGTGTGTCTGTCTTTTTGTAGTGTTTTATCACAGGAAGTAAATGAAATACAAATTTATGAATTCATTTATAAAGAAGCATTACTTGGGAACACAACATTTTGGAAACAGAACCAAGTCTATTTTTTCTTTTTTGATAAAATGTAAATTAGATAAATTAATCAACAGTTAATAATCAAAATATATTCATGGCAATCCAACGAAGAGATCATAAAGTCATTCGATCTAATTGAGATAGAGACATTCAAAATAATAAATAATTAATGCTAGAACCTTTGACAACCCATTGATTCAATATTCATACGCCAATATTATGAGGAACTGGAGCATTGAATTCAAATCTGATCCCTTAACAACTAGTCTACTTGGTCTATTGTTTATATTTCGGAATTTTAGAGCTACCTAATACTGCTGGTTTTTAAGAGCCTATTGGTTAATCTATTTAAGTGAATGTTTGAGCATCTCATCACGATATACTTGCCACCATTTAGAACCAGAACAATACTTTTGTTTTAATAAAACTAAATGACATTCTTTTATGTTGAAACTAGGTGATGTATTTATTGAGGGGGTGATTGGAGAGCGAAAGGTAAACACATCAAATGCTGAAATAGAGTGCTCACCACTAAAACGAACACTTTTTCTTACTACAACACTCAGGCTTAGATGTCGATGTGCATGTTGAAGCAAACAATAAATCTTGTTGAAGAAATAAACGAATTCGGCGGTTCGAAATGCCATGCAGAATTCTTAGTTGATAAAAAGGTCTTTATCAACGAAGCTCAAGAATCCGGGAAAGACACAATTTCCTGCAGAGAATAACCAATATTTTCTTCTTTGCCTATACTTGAAATATCGAAATAAAAACGCTACTGGTAAGAAGTACATTTCACAATTCACCCAATCGTTATAATGAAGCTGACATCAAAGAGGTAGGCTGAATATTGCATAAAATTTTGATCTGTCAGCTACTTGTGTTAAATACCGTGGCTTTGTTTACGTTCACTTAGAAAACCACCTCTTGGCATGGCATAAACAAGGTGACATAGGTACATTTGCAGAATTACCTTCAAATGCGAATTTGCTTTAAAGAATGAAAAAAAAGAATTGGTGAAATTAAACCGATTTATTTAGACCCATTAACTGATTGGGTAATGACCTCAAACTCCCTGCCTTGAATTTATTATCAATTTGGAGGTCAAACGCATAAAGTTTATTTAAATTTCTTTTCATATTTTATCATAACTTTTAAAAGCTTCATAGATCGATTACTGCCACCTTGTTTTGTAGATCTGTGTTGATTGTTGCACAATGTGTTGACATCTACTCTGTAGTGTATTACAGCGGGAAAAAAAGTAAATATTTAGTAAGAAATCAGACATTTCCTAATCGATTGCTAAAATGTGCATACAAAAAAGCCAACTATCCCTCATTGCAAAAAGATTGATTGATTGATTTAAAAGTGGCATGCTCTAATGTACATGCATCTTGAATCTGGAAGATTTGAGTTGATCTGACTCACCAGCTCGAGAATTCTCTTGAGAAGGAATCGTTTGCGAATCCCGAAGGTGAGCGGAAAATTCAGTTCGTAGCATAGAGTGGGTGCAAGCATGAAGTAACAGAGATCACTCAAGGTCAAATTATCGGGATATTCTGTTATGTTGAGGTAGATCTTGAACAATTCCATTTCTTTTAAATCCATGAGCACATCGTCTGCCTCTTTTCGCTCCTCCTCCGCCTCATCAGGATTCTCAGCCACGTTGTTCTCTCCATTTCCTCCATGATTTAATTTTTTGCGTTTCAAAAGTGCTGTTTCCAATTCCACCGGCTCCTTGAAGGCGCTCACTGAACGGGCTATTAAATAAATTTGAGAAAATTAACACGATCAAATTATACAGCCCCAGGGGTGGGCGATAGACTTACCCCCACGTGGTACACTCTGAGCAACGTATGCTCGTACGACGAAAAAGTCTATAAACCGGCAGTTGACTTTAAGCTAACTTAACCCCACTATATGTCACATCCGACCAATTTTACACTACTCATCTTACCTTTTCTCTGCCTTTGTGTCTGTCTCTATCTTTTACAGCTGTGAATCACTCTTCTGTTCCCCACCCCTCGACTTTTTACCACTTGGATGTTCCTCCTCCCCTCTGTAAAGCCTGAAGTCAACTAACGGGCCAATGATAACCATCAAAACGCCTGCCATTTGAAATAAATAAATTACTTAGGAATACGGAACATGTCTGAAGCTAATTTTTTTTGCGTAGTCCTCAGTGTTCATTAGTACGAGCGATATTTTCAACCTTTCAATCGAATGTGGTTGGGTTTCATGTGATATGTAAGTAGCCATTGTGAAAAGAAAGTCACTTTCTCTTGCTCACTTGCTCATCGTTGGTTCTTGGTTCATCTTGACGACTTTTGTTCTCCTTTATTCTCTTTAAATCGGCCTTGACTTGCCACTAGGATCTTCTCTAATATGACCATTTTCAACTAACAATCCCTACACTGATATCCATTTCAATGAAGAGAACTGTGCGTGTCCTTCTCTGCTTATGATTTTAAGGGAGTTATTCCAGAGAGGAGGGGGGGTGGATTGAGCAAATTCTTTTAATTTATTAACAAACTAATTAATCTTTATTTTTTTACTTGTAAGGAACTACTTCCAACACTGAAGCTATTTGGCTGTCTTGAAGTGATCTTCCAACCCGCTGTAGCAAAATTTAAAAAAAGAAAATTTATTTCAAACTGTCTCGAATAACGTAAATGTCTACTAATTAAACAGAGTGAAGTAGAAAAAAGCATCACTGAATTGTGCTCTACAATCATAGTTCACTTTAAGCTCCAATAAAAGTAGTTCAATACGACCTGAAATACAGTGGAGAATTGAGGTAAGCACACATGTTTACTTGTCAAGGTCCTTTTAACGCGAATGTGAACTTTCTCCACGGTTTACTTCTAAACTCAGGTGGTTTTTAGTGCAGTGACTTCAATTAACACCACTTTGTTGTCAAATACGTAGAACGAAACGAAGTGTTGTAGCAGCTTCTGAATGTCGTCTGACATTGGTCATTGCATCTTATTGGCTTTCTTGATCTGAAGTCGAAGGTGCTTAAACAGCATAAATAAGCTCATTTTTAAAGCAGAGGATATGTACCTTGAATCCCAGAGTTATTGATCACATTTATTTCCATATATTGATTATTTATTTAACTAACAAGCATAATTATAATTTTCTGATTACAAATTATTATAAAAATTTAATCATTATTAGAGAAAATCTCAAATCCTTTACAAGAAATGCTCCTCTCAGAACTCATTATTTAGGTTAGGAAAGGCAGCTCACTTTTTGTCAGATTTCCATTTGACACATATTAATTAGTGTCACTTGCCATTTGGAACACACTTTGCGCGCAAGATGGGTTTGACTAAAATGTTTTATCCGCATACATAGTTTATTCAAGTCATTGATCAATAAAGTTTATTCAAAGGAGAAGGCTATTTTTCAAAATTTACCCCATTTACTTAATTCACATTAAAATGTATCTCATTTTCTTCCAATTAAGGCCACTTTGTTGACTAATTTGGCGATTATGATTGAATAGAAAGTGAACTTACTTGCTTTTCCAAGATTGCTATTCTCCTGTTTGCGTTTAAGCACGGAATGATTCGTCTTAAGAAGCTGTTTCTTTGTTTTAACACTGTTAGAGTTCTTCATTGCTGATCTGCACCAAGCATTGACATGAGCGTAGGACCAGAGTTTGAGAAAGACGATTGTGTAGAGAATTGTACAAGGACACGTGTAGTCTATAAAGAAACCATAACAAAAAGAAATACCATAGAAGTGTTTACTGTCCTTCTTCAAGGACACAATACCCCCATCAATCAATATCATCTTGAATAGACCGGAATCTTGCCGTAAAGACTTTACTAAATGGTAAACTTTCTTCAATACATATATATATATATATATATTCTGATAGACGAGCTATATCCATTTTTTAAATTACCAATTTAAGTGTAAATTTCTGTCTTTAGATGATAAAGAACCGAACTTCAATTAAGTCACTTCTGGATGGTACGCTATACTTTGGCATAACATTTCCACACAAAACATGCATGATAGAGCAATATAATAAATGAACTTAGAAGAATGTTCACTAAATTTACTCTTATTTCTAACATTGACCCAAATATATCACTTTTAGCTCCCTTTCTATATGAAATTGCAAGTTGAGTACATTAGTGCTCTTTCGTCATATGGAATTAGGCGCAAGAAAACCACTCCTTTTCAAGGTCATAGTTTCTACTATTAACTAAAGAAGTGGATATGGAGCGTAACGGAAACAAGAAAATCATCGAAAAATAAATGGAGGGAGCGGAGACACAATCAGCTTTGCCAATTTACAGCTTTAAAACCTATGAATTGAGAGTGTTTGCAATGGCTTCTGAAGCAGACGAAAATAACTGGGTCAATGTTGGGCTCATTGTCAAGCATACACACAATTCATACCCTCGAAAATCGATATTCATCACATTTATCTAATAAACCTTCTTAAAACCATGGCCCACTCTAACAAAACGCCCTCGAATATCTAAACATTAGCAATTCTTTAATAAAACAAATCAGACCACGTAGAGTTAAAAATATTATCCCCATTTTTAATTAGCCCTTTTAGTACAACCTTTTGAGCAGATGGCAGAAATAACAAATTTGAAAATAATAATAGTAAAATGGATTGAAATAGTAGTTTAGATAAGTGAAGCCTACCAACGCCTTGTTTAAAACTACACTATCGAATACGTCCACTTCTTTTTGCATTCATTATTTTGCAACAAAATTAAAATAAAATAAAAGCGTTATTGGAATTTTACATTTGAAAACGCTTCCTTCCGCCAGTATTCTATCTTAATTAATCAAATTATTAAGTATTTCAGCATTCATGAGCAATAAATTCTATTAAACGTGTAGCCTTTTAACTAAACGTACTGTCTTACAATAGTTCAGTCTAATAGGAAAAGATTATTGAATTATATCACCAGTTGACAAACAGGTTACACAGTGGGTTTAAAAGTTACCCACGATTGGAAATGATTATTTTTTGCACTCCCATGAATTTAAAAAAAAAAACTAGTAGAACCCAATGGAATGATAAAATCAAATAATGTCCACAACTCAAATGCAAGAAGTTCTTCTTATCAAGTAAAAATTAATGGAATACTTCAGTTTCTTCCTCAAAAACTGTAAAAAGAGGGGTAATTTTTCCTCCACTAAAATTGATTAATGTGGGGTGTGCGCTAGACTTACCTCCACGTGGTGCACCCTGGAAAACATCATATTCGAATACTTCACAGTACTCACTTCACCTTTTTTCTACCTTTTCTACCCTCGTCTTTGAAACTCTCTTCTGTCCCCCCCCCCACTCTCAACTTTTTTCACTTTGATGTTCCTTCCCTTCTGTGAAGCCTGAAGTCAACTAAAGGGCTAATGATAACCATAAAAACGCCTTCCATTTAATATAAATAAATGAATTAATGAATTGATCAATGTAATCCTGTTGAAAAAAAATTAGACTGATGATACACGTATTTAAAGACGGCTTATAACTTAATAGCTAAATATTTATTGACATCGTGCCTCCATTTCAATGTTTTAAGAATAAAGATGCTCCAATCACGTTTGAACTCTTGAGTATACTTCTTTTTTTGTAGACAACCTTGGATTGACTTAAATGGTGACTGATACTGAAGGACTTCAGCTATTTTGCTGGGAGGAAGTGAAAAGATTCATTAAGAGCACAACTATGACTTAAATAAGCCCATAAACTGCCGGCTGATATTTCAGTGGCTGTGCTAGATTTCTCTTCTTTTAATAAATAATAGCGTGTGACGTTAGAAGAATATAACTCTAGAAGAGTGACATGATCAGACGATGGGTGGCCAAAGCTGATGGGTTCAGAAGCCAAATGAATAAAGTCACTTTTGATGAAATGGTTTCACTCGCTCCACTTCACAATCTACCCCCTTTTCTACTTGACTATGATCCTCATTCCGAGTTTGAGCACTTTCTCCTTACGAAAGTCGTCAAATATAATTTTTTTGAAAAAAATGCAATCAATAAATCGGTACATTCCTTGTCTAGCGACTACAAATACTCGCTTTTACCAAGTTTTCATCCATCTATGCTACTTTAAGTAAACATACTATTTTCCAACAAAATGAACCTCCACACAATCTGAAAAATGTTTTTTTGAAATTTTTGGATAAAACTGTGCTCTTAGAAGATGAAAAGAGGTTGGACCATCTTGAATTGACCAAAACTGCATAGGGACCAGCCAAGATACTGACGAAACTGACTCAAGAATTGGTTAATTGAATTTTACTGACTTTGGTATTACAGTGAATGTCCGGAAAAAATGGCATTTATTTGACATAGGAAAGCTGATTGGGAATATAATTGACATCCTTGATCAATGATTTTGTCTTTTATTTATGGATAAAATAAACGAAAAAGTGATTCGGTAACAAAACTTTAACTTCAAACTCTTTATCATATAAAAGACTAAGTGATAAATCTTCATTGCTAAGAGCCCACAAAATATTTTGCAATTTTAGCCTGTAGCAACCCAATCTTTAAATTGAATTTGACCCGCAAAATCGACAACTGATTCAATTGATCTGAAGTTTATACTATGTGGACAGGTCATATTTTGAGATAGAGCCTAAAATTGAAGACTTCAAAATTTTCATTTAAAATTATTTTTAACTTACGGTTCAGACAATTGAAACAAATAGTGAGTCAAAATGAAGGCAAAAAACTGGGTTATTCTAGCACCCTGCTGTTTATCAACAAATTCGAGGCAACGAGGGCACGAGGCGAGATGAAGATAAACACGCAGAGAAAAAGGCATGCTTAGTTTATACATTTACGCTTGAGGCGGTTGGCATATGAACAAGTGGGTTTGAGACCATTGTTCTGCTTTACTTTGTTCATGTTAGTCCTGGTAGACAGGAAGGTCGTTCTTGTGCGTGCCTTCTCAAATGTGAAGTTAAAATCAACCACGAAAACTGCAAAGTCATAGCCAGCCACACTGCTACACAATGCCTTACATTTACTAGTATCAAAGTTGTATGCTACCTAAATATAGTGCCGTGTCCAACCATGTACCGAATTTGGGAGATGCATCTTTGTTAGTGGAACTGCACAGCGCCTTCCCATTCCATTTTTATTGCTAATTTATGATTAGTCCAGCTGTTTATAGGTTATAATAAATGTAGAAACATCCTTAAATAGCAAAAAAAATTAATTAGGATAACGGTATAAATTGTGGTGAATTCGAATGGGTTGAGTGAAAGTAAAGTATATATCGGCTGCATTACCAATTCATTTTTGACAAGTAAACAAGTTTCCTTACAAAATTAGGCGAAGTACCACCATCAGAACTAGCTAGTGCTGTTGAATTAATCAGTACTTTCGTTATTGGAACTTTGGAAGTACAAACTAATAACGGAATTGTCAAGTTTGAATTGTATTCTAGGTTCCACACTACACATCTGTTCTATACCATACCGCCATTAATAGTGCAGCTGCTTACCCTGTTATAAGTCATACGATGAACCCCAATGTAAGGTTGTGCATCTAATTGACGCCCAAGTGCCACCATTTTGAAAAAAATGGAATATTTCAAAATGGTTGATAAGGTAGATAAAGTGTTTAAAATTATAACAAGGCAAAGTAAAAGTGATCAAAAAATGTTTATTTTGGAATCTGAGGTACAGGGGAGAATAATTTGAGCAAAAATGTCTTTTAAATTGCAAAAGGAAAAAAAGGAACGAATGTAAATTCCATCAAGATCGACGGCAAAAGAAACCAGATTTGGTGATATATAAAGTGCGTTAGCAGGCTCTGAAGAGATTTTTTACAATATGACAGTAGACTTTACTTTTCAATAATAAAATTAAGTATCCAGACTATATATGCGCAATAATGCAACGTTGAATCGAACTTAGTTGAAAGTGAAACAAGGAATATCCCAATAACAGTCTTAAAATGTAAATAAACACACCAATAGTTGTTAATGAAACGGAGGATTACAATGCACAAGCAATTTTTTTCAATAAAAAAATGATAAAGTGAATTATTTCAAAATAGTTTAAACTATACAGCTATTTATAATTGGCGTGATCAATAGTTTGATGGAGCGTTTTCTTAATTGGCTCAAAAAGAAAACTATAGAGACAAATTGGCATGTAGCCATATGGGTATGAGACGCTCTGTGGGTAGAATATATGAAAGTGTCAATAAAAGTGCACACACAGGGTTAAATATACTATATTTTTACACTCACGGATATCATATACAGATTCGAACTTGATTTGAGGCTTAAAAATGCGTTTACAAAAAATCTATTCTACAGTGAAGTTTAGTGGTGGAATAAAACTTCAAAATTGAAGTAAAAAAACCAAATGACCAAAATATGCACTAAACTTAAGTTAAAATGATAACTATTTTAGTTAAAATCTTAACCATCAGAACACTGTCTTTAAAATTGATTGATGTGAAAGCCTTTAGTGGAGCTGATTGGAAAGTTAAATAATATCAAATAGTAAAAAGGAACGTACAAGGACTCCAATCATTATTGAGAATCACGATTGTTGGGAAGACAATTACGCTGGCTAAATTAAGTGACGTGAGGAATAATACGACAAAATTTGGCACTTTGAATTTGTAGAACATCAATTCAAATCCATATGCAAAAAAAACGAAGGCACCAGAACCTACAAAAAGTAAATAATTGAAATATAAAGAAAAGGTATGGCATCGGATTAAAATGTATTAATACATGCAATAAATAGAAGCCCAAGTGGTTGTGCATGTGCGCCATCAAGAATATAGCGCCATATAAACGGATCAACAATGAGACCATTGCTAAAAAATAAAAACTGTATTTAACACAAATGAATAATGATGTCAAAGAAAGAATCTTGAAAGGGAAATATACGTGATCAAATTTTGTAAAGCCAATTTTCCACCAAAAACGAGGAGCATAATAAGGCCCCAATTAATAAGACCTCTGAAATTTGTGAAACCACTTTCCCCGCTAAAAAGGGATACCTGTCGCCCGTGGATTCTATATGAATGCATAAGTAAGATATTTATGAAAGAAATTTTTAAATTTTAATAATAAAGCCACGGTTATATTAGCTAACGGTTGATCATCCGCTTTCTTTCTTAGCAAGTCTGAAGTCCGTTTATAGTCCATAAGATCACCACTACTGAACGCCCTGCCCATTTTCCTCTTAGCATTCGTCATTTTTCTTGAATGATATTTTAAAACACGCTGGTTTGTACTTAGATAATAAGTGACATTTCAAGGCCGTCAGAAATCACTTACGTTAAAGAGCAATACAACAGAAGGTAATGATTTTAATTAAAAAATTTCCGATTTCAAAATTCATTTAATTTTTAATCAATTAAAAAATTGTTTCATCTTGAATTAAGTTATTTTTCTATTTTTTTTGTTCGATATGATATCGAAAGGAATTTTTTAAGTTACTGTTCTTATGCATCTATACCGTCACTCGAAATGAGATATTGAATATTAAATGATCCCTCTCAAAGTGATGCCATTATTTTTGCGAAACTAGTCATAGTTAGCCTAATTGAAGCCTTTAATTTTGGGATATTTCATTTTAAAAAAACAAAATATATTGTTCAAGCATATACTTACAATAATAACGCTAAAGAATTCCATTCATATCGTTATCCCCTGGCTTTCTTATTAGAAGGCATTTAGACAAGCTTCAAAATTTTGCGAATTTTACACCTAAAGTATTTATATTTGTTAAATGAAGTTACAAAAAGAATATCACAACTTGGCAGACTATCGTCTTAAGACATTATTCATTCCTAATCTTTTGACATGTTTAATATATTTGCAAATCAACAACCATTCGTTTCGACTGTTGGCTTCAAATTAATAATGCTTTCTTTATAGGTGGTGTGTGAACTTTCTGTATCTGCCCAGATTAATATGGCCATTGAGATTCCAATTCTTGAAAAATTCACCATTCCAAATTCAATAAATTATGATTATAGCAAGCATTAATGTCTAAGTAAACTTTAAACCTTACTTGATGTTTTAGTCTTCTATTCTTGCACTAGATATAACTGACTTAGCAACAAATCTTCAAATTACATTGTGACTAAAATGAAAAATTTTTCACGCATACAATTCAATGTAACAATAAAAGCTTTAAGATTATTTAATATTTTGAACTTATCTAAGTGCAACTCGAATTAACTTTAAAATACACCTATTTTTATGATCAATGCACTGCGATTGATTTCTTCATTAGCTTGGTCATAATCATGGTACTTAATCAAATTGAGTGGAATATAGCTTTGTTTGTTGATGTATGGGTGTAAAATAACTAATTTTCAGGAGTAAAAACAATTATTAAAAGAAAGTATATGCTATCTTATTGATAATTTTTAAAGGTTTCTTTAATCATCTATGATGAAATAACTTTTTAATGATAAAGTACATATGCTTGCATTTAAACCCTATAATATTTAAATAATTTTGAAATAAGTAAGTTTCATGAAGTTTTAGTGAAAATATGAAGGATAAATAAATTTTGACTATAGGTCTTGCGTGTTTTAATGAATAATTGCAAATCGTCCTTTAGGCAATAATGACAACTGGCGCTTGTTTTAAACCATTCGAATTAACTTTAATATAGAAGGTATTTCTTTTCACAGTTGTTTTTTCTCATTATTATTTTTAGAAAACCTACCATTAAAATTATAACAATGATTAATTCAATTTTCTTTATTTGACACCATTTATAAATGATTAAATATTTTTAATATTTCGTCTTGAATTTATTTATTTATTTCAGATTAAATAAATAATGAATACCATTTTACCTGTTCTTACAATATTCCTTATCTTACTCGCCGTCTCTGTATGCTATACCTGGAATATCTCGAAAGCCGACGGTTTCTGTCAGAATCCGGACGTAGTATCCATTGCTGGTAGCTCACCTACCCGAATGGTTCAAGAGGGTGGACGTATTGTAATACTTTGCTGTATTCTTGGAAATACATCTGGTCATGACCACGAGCAGCTCATTTGGACTAATCCATCGGGCAAATTTATTATAAATTATTTTTCAAATGCTGTTCAAGCTGCTCAAAGCAAAACATATGCCATACCGGATTTTTCAGACAAAACCCACGTTGCAAGTTTCAATGGAATAATTTTTTTATAAAATCAGGATATTATTCACGAAAGTTTTTTTAAAATATCCTTTGAGTATTTATTTGATATTTGCAGTAGTTCTTACTTAACCGTTTGTGTCAAAATGTAAAAAATTAATAGTATTTTGTTAATTTCGTTTTCTCCATAGAAATTTTTTCAATTTAAAGAAGCTTTTTAGAAACTTGTGCTAGCTTTTACAAGCTCTGCCGTTATTTTTAATTAATTTCTATAAATATGCATCCAAGCAAATTCGTTTGTTTTGTTATTTTTAATTTGAAAGTCAATAAATAAATTGTTTCTCGTTCGAACTCACACTATATGGAGTCATATCATTTCCTCTGTTATATCAGCAAAATACTTTGTTTAGTTTAAGTATTCTTATGCTTTCAGCAGTGTCGCAGATTAGTTTGGACAGCGGCCAACGCTCAATCAATTGGAACATATTGACTCAGCTTGTGGAGAACATCAAAGTGCCTTGTTTGATGTTCAAGTCACTTGATTGCACCTAATAAGTGCCGGACTGGGGCGAATGGTTAAGCCAATTCCAATCACTACTATTTGCAGTGAAAATAAGAATATTCAAGTTGATCTTATAATATAATTGAAAAATTTTCAAATAATGCAAAACAATAGGAAATGAAACAAAATTGATCAAGTGACAGAAATCACATAATGTCATGCTATTTAAAATTAATGCTACCTTACACAGTTGAATTACCAACCTTAACTAATGCAGTAAAGAATTTCGCCTTAAAGGGTTCAACGGAGTGCGCTAAACATCTTTCAGTCAAAATCTTCTGCTGGAATAGTGGAATTTCACCTTCGATTTTTTTAAATGAATCTGGGCAGACTGTCTATCTACATGCCTTTTAATTAGTTAATATTTTGGTTGTTATTGATTTGGTCTCCAGAGAAGTCACGACACCACAACTTAATCACCTTTCTGATTGGCTTTGAAAGAGATTAAGATTTCTTTTAAGGAGGGTCCTCGATAATTTAAAAATAATCCAAATATTAAAACTCTATTTAAGAATTTTTTTAATATTTCCTTTTTTCTCTGTTTTGACCAAATATTGTCATTTGTTTAATATTTGGAATTATATCAAGATTCGTAAAACAGATTTTTCATTACCTGTATGAAGCTTTATTTTTACTCTTACTTAGCCGCAGACAAAGAAGACGATTTTTGTAAACTGTAACTCATAAACTAACACTTTACGAATAGGGATATAATTATTTTTATTTGTTCAACTTCATTGTAATTGACCTTGCTGATTAAATTTATCATTATTTTGAAAGTCACGCAAATAGTGCAATTGTTGTATATTTTGTTTGGCTTTAATTATGAATTCTTACATGAATTTGAGTTATGCATTCCTAAATAGTTTTAACAAAACACACTAATATTTTGACCTATAAAAATAATCGCTAATTAAACATAAGCCCATCACGTGATATTGAACAAAATTACCCCTAACATTAATTTAGAAACAAAGGTTTCGTTAGCGGGCAAGTCTTTGTATGAACTACTCTGGACTATGCAAGCTCTTCGGCAATACTATAAATGAAAGTTTACAAAGTTGATTCCAGTTTACATTTAAATTTTTGACGGAAATGCTCAAAGCGGAAATATAACATTTAGTTATTTTTTTGAAAACTCAAATGTATTTTTTATCAAATTTTAAATAAAGTACTTTTTCCCTGAGTCGGGAAATAATAAAATAATTGCACCCAGGTACGCCAAGTATATCACCGCAATTGAAAAAAAACCGTTCTCTTATTTAACTATAGCAATTTCCATTTCGTACATTCTGCCTTTTCATAAACTTTTAATTGAATTATTTTCTTTCTTCTTAGGTGAGGTCAAATTTGGAAAAAAGATAACGAAAGAAATCATTGAAGAGTAATAAACTATGTTGATCTGAAAAGCTTTAGATACATACAATCAATAGAGAATCTGATAAGCCAGATCGATTTGCAAACGGCTTAGCTGTTGGTTTGAAGTTGTTTATTTAATTTGCATGTTTGAATCGGATCTGATTGAAAAACTTTTGTCTTCATTTTGAGTCTCAATACTTCTGGTATTCTGTAGAATAAAGCAGTTGTCCTTTGCAGTTTGGAGCAGTAAATATTACTTACCGATATGTTTCATCCCTTAAGCAAGCTTTATAATGTGCTTATTAAAGAAATTATGGAATAATAAATTACACACTACTGGATTAATAAAATCTTTGTTTAATGCCATAGGTTTTTGATGCCAAATGCATGGCCTTATCCGCAAACATCTTTAGTAAAGTTTAATAAGCCCTGTGAAGCTAAATATGTCTTAACATTCGTTTCATTAAAAATAAAAATCAATACTGAGGTGGAATGAATAATCCCTCAGTTTTATTTGCAGGCCAATTTGTACTGAACTGTGCTCACTTTAAAAATACACAGGATCTAAATGCCTGCTGGATAACATAAAATAGATTTGTTCAAAAAATTAATAAATGCAACATCTTGATACATTTGCCAAATTTATTCTCAATTTTTCAATTTTCACAATTTTTAAAATATATCAGAAAAAGGGACTATCTATGTTCAGTGTCGATAAAACTTTCATAAATAGTACTGCTGATGTCACAGAATTAAATGTTCATCCTGTTTGTAATTATGATTTATTGAAACGAGATCACCTATTCGAGAATTCGGATCTATAAGCGCTAACCTATTTAACTTGAATTTTTTAAGCGTCATCACATAGTAATACAATTTTTGATGGAACTTGTCGTTAATGAGCAAGAGAAATATTGATCTCATTTCATGGCGTCAATGAAAAAATATTCAATGACTCTATTTTTGTGCATATGAAGAATCTGTTTTGGAAGAACAATTAATGTGCTAGCGAATGTTATTAAGATCATATAAGGTTAATTTAAAGAAGATAATCGCAAGTTTTAAATCAAAATAGGCTATTCCTTGCCCAAGACTTAAAAATTTTAATTAAAAATCAGAATGCTTCTTCATTTTCGTGTTTTGAGTATTCTCATTATCTAGCGATGGCATCTGGGGTAAGTTGTTAATGACTAAACAGAAAATGCATGATCTAAGGAGACTAACCATATAACAAGAAAATCCGCCATTTGATATAAGAATTATTATACTCTATCAAAATAAAAAAAACGATATGAATTCTGATCCTTTCACAGTATCGACTAACTAGAAACCTTAACATTACAAATCATCTTTGAAAAAGAGCAAAAACAACAAAAAAAAACAAAATTTGATCAATGTAGTCCGTAAACCTCTCAGGCATGGCACTAGAAATTGAAAGCTATAAATTTGTCTACAGGCAAAATATTTAAACCTTGCATAGATTTAAATTATTCTTGATTGTAAAATCTAAATTCCACTTTGCAATTGATGAGCTAATTTTTGTTTGTCAAATGTGAAAATCGGAAGATAACATCGACTTATAATGCCTTTTTTTCATGAATGCTTCGGTGCCTTTTTGCTAACCTTTTTGAAAGATGAATGCGTTATTGTCATAATAAAAAACCAGGCAAGTTATGGAAAATAGTTTGGCTTAAGAAATATATATGTATACTTATACATAGGGTTTTGGAAACAATTTTTACATTCTTCTTATATGAAAGTAAAAGTGTTAGGTAGTTGCAATAAAAATTTAGGCAGACATGGTAAGCAGTCAATACTTTAAGAGTTTCAGTCAAAATAATAGACATTAATGCCTATTGGAAACTCAATCCACTCCCTACTCCCCTCTGGAAGTCGAAGTAAGCTGATAATGCATTATCTCTGGGAAATGTCTGAGAACCGCTCTCTTTCTGTCTCCCGATTGGCTGACTTTTGCTGTGCTAGAGTCTTTCTCAACAGCTCTAAGCGTATGCATACAAGTCTGGAACTGGGGAAGGGGGGGGGGCAAGGTAGAGTCTGGAGTCTAAGCCGTCATTGGAGGTTGATGTAGTCGAACAATTGGCAGACAATAATTTTTGACCCTAATCTGAAGTGTCAGAAGGTGTGAGAAGGGGGGGGGGGGATTATTGGCCACAGTCTTTTTTTCAGGGCTCAGCTATTAAAAGGTTCAGCATTATCAAAAAACTTCTAAATTCAACAGAAATTTCTCTTACTTTAAAAAAAATTGTGGAGACGGGAACACACTCCATATAGTTGAGGAGGATGCTTCTCAAAAAACCGACTCAATTTGGGGAAATTTTGTCTTAATGTCTCGAGAAACTCCTTTTAAAATTAGTGCTGGCCAAACCATCTATTGTTCAGTGTATTTTGAGTTTCTTATTGATTAAAGAGTTACTCATCTGGAAGTCTCACATTATTTTTAACTCACCGGGCTGTTTTCCTTTCCTCGGTTGTATCCCCACCTTTGTGAGACTTTTGGCAGGCTTTTGCGAATTAAGTTGCTTTCTCTCACGCTTGTATGTTCTTGTTGTTGAAGCTTAAGTCTTCCATTAGTCCAAGCTTCATGATAGAGACTTTCGCCTTCAGGTTAAAAATATAGTGACAAATAAGGAATTTTGATTTCAGGGTTCTTCAGAATTCGAAGAAATCAGCTATGCAACTATGCATTGCACTTTTCTAGCCACCGTAACCTAGTAGTCTCCACTGCAATTCTCCAGTTCATGTCGGATTTTCCCCCAGCGAACATAATTTCCCAATTTTTATGGGTGGTTCGAATATTCCTGACGCGCGTTATACTCTTCCAAATTCCAGATCAAGTTCCAGTCACCAACACTTTCACTCATTTGAATGAAAAGCGCAAAATTCTTCACAAGTCTTCCTTCTTTGAACACCCTTCTTAACGCATTTAAAGGAATCACAAGCCGGTAGTAAATACTAATTAATAGTGTCCCAATCTCGTTTTTTAAGGCCGGAAGGATATATTTAAAACAACATGCAAATCCATTTAAGTGCACATCAAATTATAACTTTTATGAGTGATTATTTAAACTATCAGTCTTCGATTGTTGTAAAGAAAATTGAGAATCCTACTTTCTTCCATAACAATAGTTTAAATAGCATCCTTTTCAGTTCATAATCTACAACAAAGAACCAAGTTAGTTATGAATGCGCAAATAATTTAATTATTGTACTTTATCTATCACTTTTGTTTTCATTTATTTATATTGACATTCTCTGAGATTTAAATTTGATCCGCATAATACTTGCTTGCTGCATCATCTTTCATCTTTCTTATCGATCACGGGGAACTCACTTTCATTTGGGTCCTCATATGTCCATGGTATGACCTTCTTAAGGAATGCTTCTGAAACAATAGACGCGTTATGAATTTAATTGCTTAGTACCAAAGACATAAATTGGTTTCACGAAAGAAAATATGGGTTTCATAATGTGCTGTAGCATGTATTTTTTTGTAAATTTCCATTTCGAATTCAGCAAACTAGTTCAGATTCGTCTATTAACAGATGACGTATCCTCTGAAGATCCTTACTTTAAATGATTTGGTATTGGCGCCAGTTCCATTTTATAGGTACATCGCTGTTAGCCGTTGTAATGTGTGTGTGTGTGAGTATGTATTAGGATATTTTATTCCATTCAGATAAGATCGAATAATTTAACCTTTAAGCGTATGCTTGCTAAGTAGTGTTCAAATGCGGAAATTCACTCAGCCTTAGTCCTAGTGAGAAGTGTTCTTATTCGTTTGAAATTGTTGTCCACACAGTCTCCCTGCCTTTAACTCACACTGCTCAGGATGACAATACCCTGCTATAAAAATACCTTTCCAGCAATAAAATTTTATGGTTGATGTTGGAATTTCGCAAGAGAAGTAGCCTTTGCGTAGAGAAGCGAAAGATTTATTTAAAAATTTAGTTATTGATTTACTAAAGTGTTGGCATTTCAGTTATTTAAAAAGAGTGTCAATATTGAAAAGGATTTTGAATTTAAATGTCTATATTAATAAGAAACAATAAAGAACATAAAGTGAGATGTGAAAAGTAATGAAAAGTAGTAGAACAACTCAAGTCAAGATTATTAATTCCCTCCTTGATGAGGAGGCAAGGTTATCTCGAATATCACTAGCGGTTAATCCGATGGAATTTTAACAATCCTATAAACCCATTAAACTATGTAATTTAATTTAAATTACAACTTTACTTGACTAATAAAGTCCGTATTAATAAAGAAATACTTGTTTTGTACTCAAGTAGTAAAGATATTCTTTAAGTTTTCATCCCATTTTTCAATGTATAATTCAAATTATTGGAGTTCTGATTGGCCAAAATTTATTTTTTTTATAATTTTTTGCTGGTTTTTTATTTTTGAAAATTACACGTGTCCCATTGAGTCCACAGTCAGTGAATATGATGTGGGCAACTATGACTAAATAAAAATAAAATGAAATATTAAAACAAAGTTATGGAAATATTATTATTTGTTTTAAACTGTAAGATGCACTATTTTCTAATGGGATTTAAGTAAACCTATCAGTTTAAACATTCAACTTTTAAAAGTTCTTGGGTTAAATGCTTCAGTCGACTTGAACCATCGAATAAAACAGATATTATAGGTTTTTAAAGACCATTATTATGAACCCATTCAAACTAACTTACACTCAATTTGAGCGGAGAGATGAAGTCCAATATAACCTCTGTGTGATGTTATGACGAAAGCTCGGTTATCATCGCGCACCTCTGACAATACAGTGGTCACTAGGTGGATGCAGGCTAGTACATATCCAGTGATGTCGTAGCGACTATTACTGATCAAAAGGAAACTAGTAAATTGAAAGTGAAATGCTGTCTTGAGAGCTTTTATAAGGCCGTAATGGGATATCTTTTCTTTTCTCCATTTCCACTGTCACCAGGATTGAGTAATTTGGAGTTGCAACAATTGAAATGAATGAGGCTTTCCAGATACGGACAATTTTCCCAATTCGAGGGCAGATAATCACGGAAATAACTCTATTTCATTTGATCATGATATTTAATATCTCACTTCCTATTTGCCCTTCTCATATCCTTTGACACTCCGTTAATCAGCTACACTATCTCTTTTTAATGACTAACCTTGGAACTTAAATTGTAAAATGGTCACTGCATTAGACCCATTGCGCCATGCACGGAAGGTATAAGTGCCAGTATTTTTGTCGTTCTAAATACTCCTCTTACTATTGAGATTATTAGACATGTTTTAATTGGACTCCAACTGGATAAAATGTTCGCTGTTATAACGTTACTGATAATTGCATATTTTACCTGAAGCCACATTCCAATCTAATTTATTATTTCGCCGTTCAACCTGCCGATTGACTAAAATCACTAAATTTTTGCTTCACATACCCTTTAGATTTCTCGTTTGGTTGTGCAGAACTTTAAATCATCCAACAAAGGCACCTACACATGTTCTAAGAAGAATTCCATTCCAGATACCCCTGATCCAACACCAGCCAAGGTTGAACTCATCATGCGTCCACGTCTACTTGCCGATTTCACGTCTCTCTCTAGAACCGAGACCAATGAGGTTGTGATGACGGGTCATCGAGTGAGCGTACCTCTTGAAGTAGGGAATGTTGGTAGATTAGTCTGCCGAACTAATAAAAAATTCAAGGGACCGATTCGAGTGACTTGGTTCTATCATGGACGCCAGTTGATTGGTCCAGCAGCCTCTATGCTGGAAGAAGTTAACTTGGCGTCATCAAAGAATGCAGACGCAAAACCGGGGGAAAATAAACTCAAATCTAAGCAAAAGCAACTTACATCAGTCAATGGTGATGATGTTAGGATGGGAGACAGTGAATTGAACCCGATGAAAAAGTTCACAAATGCTATGTTTAGACCAGCTGTGATTGATCCGGCAGAACTTGGCGTGTCCTTGGAGAATAACTCACAGGTAAGCAAGTAATCTATATTTAAGAAAGGATAAGTTATTTTATTGTTTACTGATTTTTAATTAAGATTATCACTCATAGATTCAAGAAAGTTGTTACCATAGCAATTATTTCAGCAAAATCTAGAAATACCAAATCTGTGTAAGTTTTTAAGATGTACTTTATATTTTTTGACTTTCGACTTCCCCAGTGTTCGTCTTGATTCCCAGAACCTCTTCAGTCTGAAGTCCGTGAAATGATCAAGGAAGATTTGGCACACGGTACTTGACCACTAGTGATAAAGAACTGGCGATCTTGTGTCCTTTTGTAAGCGCACATGTCTACAATTAGTATACGTCAGTTAGAGGTTAATAGAGTAATCACTTTGTACCATCTCAACTTTAATCATTCTGCTAACGTTGTTCATCTTAGAGGCTAAAATGTACGCATATCATGAATTATTGCACTAATAAATGATGATTAGTATTTATGCTTAAAAGACTTTAGTTGGTAACTGTATTTTATAAAATTTTCACGGGGTGTGCGATAGACTTACCTCCACATGGTGCACCCTGGGCAACGTAAGCTCATACGGCAAAAAAGTCTATTAACTGGCAGTTGACTTCTCACTTCAAACTACCATCACCCCACTCTATGTCATATTCGATCCCTTCCACAGTACTCATCTTACCTTTTCTCTGCCTTTGTGTTTGCCTCTTATATCTTTGAAACACTCTTCTGTTCCCCTCCCCATCTCGACTTTTTCAATTTGATGTTCCTTCTCCTCTGTGAAGCCTGAAGTGGGAATTTTGTCAAGAATGGAACCTAAGCAGAATGATTTTTAT